ATTTTGTTGGACAACAAACACTTGGAGGACCTAGAAAAGAATTTTTTGTTCCTACTTTTAAATTTTCTTAATTTAATAAGAAAACGCGCCGTAGACGCCTTTATAAATTTAATAAAACCTCACCAGGAACACACAAATAACCTGTTGGACATCCAATAGAATCAAAATGTTCACCACATAGCACAGGATTACGACCTCCTAACGGCAAATTTCCACCTGGACAAACTCCTGGACGCTTTTGAGAAAATGAATTTTGTTGTTCTTTTGAAGATTCCGGTCCTAAAAGATCCAAAAAATATTACAAAAAATTTTATTAAAAAAATAAACCTCCTTTCTTACAAATCCTTTCACAGTCAATTAATGTATCAAATTTATTTTCATTTCCTCCACATCCAGTAAAATAAAAAGTTCTGCAACGATCACTTTCAGAATCATAAAAATAACGTTGTAAAGCCTCTCCACAATTTCCTTTATTTAAAGGTTGAGAACAAATTGATGGATTTGTTGTTGCTGTTGATCCTTTCCCATTTCCACCATGAAAACGTGATTGTCTTTGAATTGGGCCTGGTGGGGATTTATCTAATAGAAGAAAAATTTTTTTGATTATAAAACAAAAAAACCATCAAATCTAAGCGATTCAGTCAACACTAAAGATGAAGACGGTCCATTTTCTTTATCATTTTGACGGCGAACACGAAGAGATGATTGTTGCTGTTGATTGTTGCCTCCTGCTTTATATCCATGCTATAAAAAATTCCTTTGAATTTTTAAAATAAATTCTAAAAAACCTTCAATTCTTCCCCATCATATCCACCAAATATGTGTTGATCATATGGATCTAAAATAAATTGAAAAATTAAAACAAGCTCAAAAAGTTTTTTTTAATTTTTACTCACCATCTTCATTAGGGCAGCAGAAGTAGTCAATACCATTAAAATAGCAAACTGATTTTTCTGGACATTGTCCCATCCCAGGAAGGCAAAGAACTGGGCGACCTAAAAAAATTTATAAATTTAAAAAGAAAAACAAAAAAGCCAACCATCACTATAAAGCATTGTGTTTAGTCCATTCGGGCAAATAGGGACACCATTAGCTATTGTTCCACCAACAGATTTTGAAAAAGAGAAGAGTGGAGAATCTTTGTCGTCTTTTTGATAAAAAAGAATTAAAAATAAAAAAAATCTCAAATTTTACTTTTATCATCATTAAATTGTGTAGGTAACATGTTCTTATTTGCACTGTTTTGCTCAGGTATATGTTGAGGCAAACCATTAACAACATTAAGAGGTTGAGGAGCAGGATTATTATTATTGTCAACTGTAAAAAATATAAAATATGACCATTGCAATGCCAAACCGCCGAAATACCAAACTCATAAAAGCCGTCAAAGAAAGATTGGTATTTCGACAGCTTTTGGGGGTTTTGGTATTCTCGCCAAAATAACTTTAAAAAACTAACGTCTTATCCCATTAGGATAATCAATTACTGCTGGCATAGATGGTCCAATAAGTGGTAAATCTGGAACCTTTTGCGGTTCTTTAGGCAATAAAACAGCCGAATATCCATCATGATTATTTGCATTTCCACGTCTAGTTGCTTGAGAACTTGTAGTGGAATGTTCAAAGTTTGATTCAGGTTCATTTGTTTCGGCCATTAAATTTAAAGAATCAGTTGTTGGTTCAACATCTGTTGATTTTTCAACAACTCCATCACTTCTAGAAAAAAAAATCAAGAATTATTATAAATTATTAATTAAAAAACATTGCATGGAAGGGTGCAGGTATTCCAACATCACCAATTTCATTTTGAGTATTTGCTGTTTTTGCTCCAAATTGATTAAAATTATTATCCACTCCTCCTCTCATTCTCCTAAAAAAGAATTTTATTTTTATTATAATGTAAATGCTCTAATTAAAGCCCTGGGTTCTATCTTTCACTATGTCTCTTTAACTGTGGTTATATTAGAGATGGGCTTCTATTAGAGAGCGGGCTTATTTAGAGCATTAAAAAAATAAAATTCTTTTTACTAACCCTGCAGGTGGCGGAATATTTAATTGAGACAAATCATCCGGTTCTTTAAGCCTCTTCTTCTCATTAGTTTGTTGTTCACAAATAGATCTACATTCTGATTCTGTATCAAAACGATTAGCATTTCCATCATTTCCTTGCCAAATAAATTGTTCACATCTTTAAGTTATAGACAAAAAAATCTTCAAAAATAGATTTTGAAAAGTAACCTCAAATTCCGAACATTAAAATACCAATGGACATTATACCCTGTACCAGTTCCTTCATCACGATCCAAAATGCATCGATCGTTGAGGCGGACTTTCTAAAAATTTTTTCCGATTTTTTTAAAGTTAAAAAATCAGCATACTTGTGGAATATCCAAACAAACGGCTTCACATTGTGATTTATCTGGGAAGTTGTTCAAATTTCCTCGGCAAGAACCATAAGAAAATTGTTCACAAATACCATTCTCTGGATTAAAGAACCTTAAAAATAGAAGAAAAATAAATCAAATTAAGAAAAAATAAAACCATCTCAAAACAAAAGAAGTACACGGTCCTGCAACTGGAGGTAATGAACATATTTCATTTTTATTTTGAATATGAGGAATAATCATATGTTGAACAGGTGGAAGTGGGCGTTGAAGTTGTTGTTGTTTTGGACGAGAATTAATTGAAGTTTGAGGAGAAAGACGAAGAGGAATTTCTGTGGTAATTTCAGATGTTGTTTGTAGCTCTTCTTGAGTTTCAGGAGATAATGTAGAAGATTGAGAAGAAAATTCATTAACAGAATCAATTGGAAGTTCAGATTGAGTATCACCTTTAAATTTAAAAAAGAAAATAAGGAAGAAAAGGAAAGAATTAGGGTTAGTGCCGAAAATTTTCAGTGAATTGTGTGCTTAAGTGAAATGTGTTTAAGTGCTAAACGAAAAAAGTGAAAAAAAAAACAAAAGAATTTATGAAAAAACCTCAAAAAACCTTGGAAAAATTTTTAGAAATTTTTTTTTATATTTTTCAAACCCATGCTATCATTTATTTTGTTGTTCAATGGCGCTCTTGAATCTTCAATTTCTACTTCTGGTAAAGCTTTTAGCTGTTGTTCTTCTTCTTTGACCTTCTCTTCTTGAGAAATAATTGGCAATTGTTGACGTTCATTATTCGAGATGACTGGATGATTAGCCTTTACAATAAAAAAAATTTAATTAACAGAATGATTCAAAGTAACCCCATCTGCTGTATTTTCTCCTTGTTGCTCCTCATGTTTTTGCTCTTCTCCTAAATTGCTTGATTCAAGAGGAATTTGTTGTTGTTCTTGTTTAATATGTTGATCAGTAAAAAGACTGGGAATTTTTTCCTCTTCATGTTCAGGAAGAGGCTGAGGATTTTTTCTTTCTGAAGGAACTTGCTCCTTTCTATCGCTTTCTTCCAAGGATGGAACCGATTGGCTTGAAGGTTCTAAGGCTAAAGGCTCAGCTTCATTAGACACAAGTCCTTGCGAACGCTTCTCTTCTTTTTCCTCTTCTTCTTCACGATTTTTAAATTTTCTTCCCTTTCCTCCTTCACCTTCTCGCATTTCTGCCCAAATCAAATCATCATCTGTTACCTCAGTTTTAGAAATTGTTGTCCTTCCTTCCTCCTCTTGCTCTTCTAAACGCTCTTCTCCACTAATTAATGCATTATTTGATTCTTGAGTTACAGCAGCAACATTATTTATTTTATCTTCATTATTGTTAGATTCTGAACTTTTTTCAATTGAAAGTTTAATTGTTTGTAATTTTGGAATTTTTGGTATTGTACTAGTAGTTGGCAAAATTTTTGTTTGAGTTGTTGGTGTTGATAAATCTGCTTCCAAATTTTCAGTTAACGAGGGTTGATTGCCCTCCTCTGGCTCAACCTTTTCTTCAATTTTTTGTTCTTCCTTACGTTCTTCTTCTTCCCTATTTTCTTCTTTTACTTCTATTTTCCTCTCTTCAATTTCTTTTCTTCGCTCATCCTCTTCTTTATTTTCCAAAATAGCAGAAGAATAAGTTGATTCAATTTCTGGCAATTGAGTTGAAAGGATGGACTGGTCTTCCCTATTTTTATTTTCAATTTTGTTCAATGGAATTTGGAAAGAATGAACAGGAGAAAGTTTTGTTTGACGAGTTTTATCAACTAATTTAGTGCCTTGTATAAGCTGAGAAGGAAGAATATTTTTTGAAATGCTAGGTGCAGTTTCCAAATTTGTTAGTGTATCAGTGCTTTCAACTAAGAGAAAAATTTGTGTTAAAAATAAAGTGAAAGTGCTTAATATTAAAATTAAAAAATTTTTCTGTGCAGTTTCCCTCCCTTTCTTACCATTTTTATTATTTTCAGCAGTTTCTAGTAAGATTAAAGGAATTGAAGTTGTTTGTTGTTGTTGTTCAACACGACGACCAGCTGTTGTTCTAATTGGAATATTCTGCTTTTCTTTGAATACTTCTTGTCCTTCTTGTCTTCTATCTAGACCACCTTCTGTAACTGCTAATAATTCATTTTGTATTGGTGCTTCAGGTACTATACGGCTTTTTAAAAGAACTCGAGAATCAATTGGAGGGAGAGTTGGAATTGTATAGGTTGTCAAAACTTCTTCAAGTTGACGGTTTCTTTCCTCATCTTCTATCAACCTTTCATTGCTTAAGTCCTTGTCTTCATTTTGTTTTTCAATTGATAATTTATTTGAAATTTTTGGATGTTCTTCCTCTATTTTTATTGTAGTGGAAATCTGATTAATTGATGAATCAGAAGAAGCGCTAGGTTTGTTAGAAGTCGTAGATTGAACTGTTGTGGTTGTGGTGCTTGTGGAAGGTGGATCTTGGGAGATACTTGTCTCAACATTTTCCGGGGTAAGTAAAAGAAGACCATCATCAGAAGTTGATGATGTTAGTGTTCCTAAAAAATTTTAAGGTGGAAAAAGTGCAGCGTGAAAAATTGCTCTTTGGAAACTAAATTTTTTTTTGGAAAACCAAAAAATTATTGTGATTTAAATGAGTGCAAGTGTGTGTGATTATGATAAAATAACAAATTTTTTTTACTTGAAAATCGAGCACAATATATTTGACATTCCTTCTTCGAGAAAAAGTGATTTCGATTTCCTGCACATCCACTATAAAATTTAAAGTTTAGAAAATTTTCTTTTAAAATTATTTAAACAAACGTGTAGCTGAAAGATTCACATTGTCCACTTTCTGAACTAAAATACCAACGTTGAACAAAACGAGAACATGCAGATGCACCAATATCCTTAAAAAAATAAAATAATTTTAAAAAATTTTCAAAAATAAACCAATGGTTGTGTACAAATTTCATTATGGCCAAAAGGCAAAGGTTCTGGTGTAGCTGGTTGAGAAATAACTGCTTCAGCAAGAGTTTGAGGCAATTTCTTTGACAACACTGGTTGTGAACGAGAAGAGGATAATGGTAATTCAGTTGTTGTTGTTGGTGGAGGTAAAGGTTCCAAAGCTTTATTAAATGGAACACCTCCTAAAAAATAAAATTCAAAAAATCAAAAAAGAAAAAAACCGATTATTGCAGGTCTTGGCGGCTGTATAGCTGGTGGAGCTGGAGGAGAGACCGTTGAAGAAGGCACAAATGAAGAAAATGATGCAGGAGGAAGAGGTGAAGCTGAAGATAATTCTAAAGGACGTTGTTGCTGTCGGTTGTTAATCTGTGGAACTGAAACAGTTTGAATTGCCGGTGGTGATGGAGATTCTTGAATGGAAACCGGAGCAGGAGGAGATTCATGAAACGAATTAGTCGGTGGAGTAATTATTGGACAAACACATTCACGGCATCCACGACGATTTAAAAAGCTTTAAAAAATAATAAATTTTAATTAAAAAATAAAATTTAAAAAAAACATGATGCACGGCTCCTGACACAATTTAACATCCAATTGCGGACAAGTATTTTTATGTGGTTCAACTGCTGGAGGAGCCAATGGTGGAACAGAAGGAATTATTGGCGAATGTCTTGGAGGTGGACAACTACAGAGCGAACATCCTTTTGAATCTTTAACAAGTTGACAACGTCCACTTGTGTCACATTCAGGTTCTGGTGGGCAAATATGACGAACACAAGCTGCACGACAATCATCAATTGAAGCGAAATTGTTTCCTTAAATAAGAGCCTTATTTTAAAAATAAAAATTTTAAAGAACCATTTCCACCACATCCTCCATAAACAAATCTTGTACATCGATTTGCTAATGTTTCATAACCAAAACGGTGAAAAGTACCAGAACAGGTACCCTTAAAAATAAAATTATTTAAAATTTTTTAAAATAATTTTAAAAAACCGGATCAATTCGATGTTCACAAATATTTGGGCTGAGAGGCTCTAAAAAATAATTTAAAATTTTCTCAATTTTTATTAAAATAAAAATAAATTTTGTTAAATTCCTTGCCTTTAATTTCGTCTTTACCTTCAGGTTCATCGAGGCATTTACTCCGACATTCGAGCAATGAGGCAAAATTGTTGCCATTTCCCTCACATCCACCTGTAAAAATAAAAATCTAATAATTATACAAATTCGAAATCGGGAAAGGAAAGAAGAAAAAACTTTTATTTTTCAAACCAAAAGATCAATGAAAAGGAAAGAAGCAATCAAATGTTGACATTTTGGCTGCTTCAGATCTCCATTCTAGGCACAATCCAAAATATCAACACTAACACATCCCTTTCCTACCGGTGATCTTTTGGATTGGAAGAGGAGAAAAAGCACCGCAAAAATGTACCGCTTTTCCCTCCTCTCCAGTAATCTTTTAGAAAAAGTGGAAATCTAGAAAAATATTTAAAATCCCCAAACCGTATTGAAATTGTCTACACTGAGCTGTTCTTCTATCAAATCCATATCTCATAAAAATTCCACCACAACTTCCTGGATCTATATCAACATCACAAGCACTTTTTTCATCATTTGAAGTGTCTACTGTTGTTAATTCCTCACGGCAAATATTTAAGCATTCCTCACCTTTAAGTGCAAAATTTTTTTTTGAAAATTTCGAAAATAAACTAACGGCTGGCAAAATTATTTCCATTTCCTCCACAACCACTATATGTAAATGTTTCACAATTGTTTAATTCAGAATTCCAAAACCAACGAACAAACTGTGCTGCGCAAATTCCCACATCTAGAAAAATTATAAAATGTTTCTCTGAAAATTTATTCTCGAACCTTTTGGATGTTGACATTTATTAACATCAAGTAAAGGTGTAATTTGTTGTTTTCTTTCGGGTAGTAAGGGAGAAAATACGTTTTGTTTGTCAGTTTCAGGTTGGAAAGTAATTACAGGCAATTGTGGTGTTTCTGGTTCTATAGGAAATGGAGGAGGTAGAGTAGTTCTGAAAAAAAATTAATTTTTAGTATAACCGCGTAATGCCCAAAAAACGACGTAATATCAAACCCACAAAAGCTGTCGAAATAACAAAAAAAAGATTTGCATTTCGCAGATTTTTGGCGTTGGTGTGAATTTTTATAGTTTTTTTAAAATTTTTATTAAAATATTAACCTGCTAGAAAACGGTGGCAATCTTCCTTCCGTAGCAATATTTTTTCCATTTTCTAAAATTAATTTTGAAGCTGTTGTTGTTTGTATAGGAGGCAAAGAGGAAGAGATTGGAACAAAACTATTCGTCTGTTGTGAAATTGGCTGTTGAATTTTCTCTTTGGATAAACACGCCTTTTCACAATCCTCAACTCGCGCAAAATTGTTCTATGGGAAAAAATAAAAATTAAAAAAAATTTGAAAAAACCGAATTTCCTTCACATCCTCCATAAAAGAAATATTTACATTCACCCAAATCTTTATTAAAATAAAAACGCATTTGGTATTCTAAAAATTTTGAAAAAAAAATTTTTTAGACAAAAAATTTAATTAAAAAACTAACGATCACAAGGGCCTCTATCTTTGGGTAAAGAACAGATATTCTCAGATTTTTCAGATTTTTCAGTTTCAGGTAATGCAAGAGGTGAAGCTTCCAAAACTTTTATTGTTGTAGATGTTCCATCCAAAACTGGCAACTGTTCTCGACTTGGTTCTTTTTGTAAAATTAATTGACAACAAATTGAAGAGTGACAAGAGAAACTTGGAGGGCTAAAAAATTTTTTTAATTTTATTTTACTGTTACATAATCCTGAATCACCCAAACCGGATCCAAATCCAAAATCTGGTATAACAAATTTTCCTAATTCGGATCTAGACTTGAGTCTGACTTAATCCGGGTTTGGGAACCAGAGACAAGAAAAATCCTGCCGGATTTTCGTTTAATAAAATACCGGAATCAAAGAATATAAAACCAATTAAACCAACTTTTATTTATCTTAAAAAACTTGTCGGACACTCCTCCTTATCAAAAAATTTTTGATTGCTTTATACTTATAAAATTTAAACATAAAAAATATTTTTCTTTAAAGCTCACCAGCTAGCATTAGAACAATCAACCAAAAGTCCTTGCGCATCTTTTAAGGGTAATTGACCTCCTGGACATTTCTTTGATGAACTTAAACAACGTTGCTCGCTAGAAAAATTTTTTTTGAAAATTTTAAAATTATTTAGTAAAAAAGGAAAAACCATTCCAAACGGCTTCCAAATTTATTTCCATTCCCACCACATCCAGAATAATTAAATTGACTACAATGTCCATTAGCCACATTAAAATTCCAATAAATTAAGTTTGAAGTACAAGGGCCCGGTTCTGGTAAACTTGTACAATCCTGAACTAGAACAGGTTGTGCAGAAGAAATTCCTTTTAGAAAAAAATTAAAAAAAATTTTTCAAAAAATTTTACTTTCACAATCCGATTTACGATCCTTTGAACGTGAATGTTTCAATTCAACACCATTTTTATCCACACAAAAACATTCATTTTCAGTTGGCATACATTGTAAAGAGACATATTGACCATCTATTGTACATTCAGGCACATAAGTTGCTGCTGTTGTTCCCTTTTCTGCTGCATTAGCTCGTTTACGTTGACATTCTTTAAAAAAATTTTTTTGTAATTTCAACCAAGTTTCTCACCAGTTTTAGGAACCACTGTTGTCGGCGCCTCTGTTTTTGGAGCATCCGTTGTTGTTGTCCCTCTTGTTGAAATCGTAGGGAAAGAGATTGTTGTAGTTGTATCAGCGCCAACAGGACCAGCAGTCGCATAGGTGACCTGACAAATAGATAGCCTTAATAATCCAAGCAAAAAAAGCTCCAAAAATCCCCCCCTATTCAACAGTTAAAATCCCATTTCCTGTCATTAACAATTTTCAAATCAATTAGTCCACCCAAATATCCACAAAACTAACGCACATTACTCACCTCCTTTCCAACGCCGCCATTCTTTGTACATGCATCCTCGCATTCTTCTTTATAACGAAAAAGACGTGGTTCACTTTCATCATTAACGCAATGACCTACAAAAATTTTTATATTTTATAAATGAAACTAAAGAGACAAAAATAAAAATGTTATACATAATAGAAGCCTTGGGCTTGTATTTTTCAAAGGTCTCATTGAGTGGGCTCCTAATAGGGCACGTGTTTCTACTGAAGCCGGGCTTTTATTGGAACATTTACGGTAAATATAATTACCATAAGGATAACTAATGCATTCTCCATTACGTAAATAATAACGTAACACAAATTGTGATCTCATCTGAACTCCATTTTGTCCTGGAGGGCATCGACCTCTAAAAGGTTGACGTCTGCATGGATCCAATGTTGTTTGAGGTGAATCTGAAAAAAGCCATTTTTTGGAGAATAAAATCAGTTTAAAAATTAAAATTTAGGAGAGGAACACACACCTGTTTCAGGCTGAGAAGCAAGGGCCAAAAATATTAAAGGGAAAAAGTGGAATAATTTAAAAATGTAAATCATCGACTAAAAAAATTCTTTTTCGCGCTTATTGAAAAAGGATTGAAAGAATAATTTGGAAGGCTTAAAAGAAAAATATGTAGTTAGTGGATGAACGAATTTAGCAGGCACAAATAAAAAAGGAGGTTTAGTGATGGTTGTTATGCAGCTCCTTTACAGCAAACATAAAACACACAGAACAGAAAATTCTTTCTCCCAAAACCAAAAACGATTTTCAACCAAAAACGATTTTGGCGAATTTGGGATATAAAGGAGCGGCAAAAATGGATATTATTAGAAAAGCAAGAAAAAAGGAGAGAAAGGAAATGACAATAAAGGGATCGAAACTATATGATGATGGATTTGCCCGCCTCTTCTAGTATCTCTTATAAAGCGAAGGATCGCTCGGTTTTTCTTGTAAATAATTGGAAAACGGCGCGAAAACCCCCTTCCCCATTTCATTCTCCCCCCAGTGCAAGCATGCATACTGACCCATAAAATTTTGGGAGGAGTGGCACACAGGAAAAAAATTTTTTTGGTTTGTTATTTTTGGTTTAGAAAAATGTACATGTTTGTTTTTGAACCCTACTTTGATTTTCCTTTCACAAAATCAAAAAAAATTTTTTGTTAATTTATAAACAGACAATTTTTAAAAAATTTCTACATAGTTTCTAGCTCTAATTTTTAATTTTGTTTACCTAATCTCAAAAACAAAGCCCCCTTCCAATTCCCTTAAAATCTCTTTCCTATTTATCCTAATCTTTTCCGCAGCACATTCCTGCCCTTCCAATTAAAAGAATTCTTATTTTTATAGATGGCCTCCAATGATTTGGAGGAGTTCGAGACAGCAAGTACCCAAAATTGGTTCAAGGTCAAAAACGAGCAGATATCAAAAACAAAGAACCCTTGTTTATAAAATCCAAAAGTAATCTCCCCATTTTCTCAAATAGTTGAACTTTAATTTCGGGGACCATTTACACATACGGAAACCTTGAGACTAACGTTGACGGATCCAAATCCGAAAAAGGACGGACCTCCGGGAATCTTCAATTCGGCTGTCGGATATCCGAAGATTCCCGAGATCCATTAACTTTAATTGCGAAATTACAATTTCTTACAAATCAACTCACCCAATTATCCTCCACATTTTTTTTCATTTCCAAATTCCAAGCCACCACGCAAATTTATGCCATAAACAAATCAGAAATTGAACATGTCAGCTCTAAAAATTTTTTAAAATTTAAAAATTAGTATAAAGCTAAAATCATAAAAGTCCAAAAAAAGATAAAAGAGATGCCAAAAACCAATGCTTTATTAATTTTAATATCAAAAAACAAATATATACGAAAACTTGAATATTTTTTAAAAAGAAAATTATCAAAATTGAATCAAAAAGAATGTGTGTATTTAAAAAAAATATAAAAATGATTGTTTAAAAAAGTACGATTTTTTTCTTTATGAATTTTCAAAAAAAGGAGGATGAAATTTTAAGTAATAGCTCCTGGGAAAAAATAGAAGAGTATAAATTAGATAGATAATTCTACAAATTAATATCCCCCCGAATTTCAATCAAGAAATTAAGCCAAAAAAAAATTTGAGTAAAACGATTGATAAAGGAAAAGAAATTTTCAAGAATCAAAATTCCAATAATCAAAATATGTAAATAATAATTAAAAGGTATTGAGATCAGAGGTATTCAGGTCAAATAAGGAGATTCAAAGAATCCGCCCAAAATTTCATCCCCATTTTTAAGCCAAATATAATATTTTTTTGATTAGATAAGATATTTGAAAAAAATCCTTAAAAAATATATTACTTAACGACGATGATTTAAAAAAATGAAAAATAAAAACTTGCAATCTTACAAATAGAAAAAAAGCTTAAATATTTTTTTTTGTTTTTTTTCTCCCAATAACAAGCAATTATCATAAATATATATACGTTAATATTAATTAAGATCAGAACAAACAAAATATAATATTGTAGTTGCCAGAATAATACGTAGGATATAGCAAAATATTTAAATGATTTTTTAAAGAATTGGAACAAAAAAATATTTTTAGAAGAGAAAATGATTCTAAAAAATTTCCCAAAAAATCTCAAAAATTTTTCCAAAGAAATTTCACAAAAAAATTTTCCAAAAAATTATTCAAAAAATTTTTCTAGTTTTTTGCTCCAGAACTAAAAAACCGAAAATTTCCTCTCAAAATCCCCCACAGACAGATGTATTTTTTTGATTGTAGAATAAATGAATGATTGATGTTTTTTGATGAATAAAAGAATAATATAGAAAAAATAATAATTCTCTCTCTCAACGATTTCCGGCAAGAGAGCGACGTTGTTGTTCTTGATTTATAACTTTTTCTATCATCAGACGGCCGTTAACAATACTATTATTGTCGCCAGTTAAACTGTGAATAAGAAATGAAAAAAAAGCTCGAAAAGAACTTGAAAAAATGAATTTAGAAAAAAGATTTAGATTAGAAAAATGCTGATGTGAATTATGAATGAATCATAACCCCATAGATTTTTTAAAAAATTAACAAAAAATAATAACCTTACAAGACGACCACCTGGACTTGTTGTTGCTGATCCACGTTTATGACTATAAAAAATAAGAGCAAATGTAAGATTGCCAAAAGAAAATAAAAACATACACTTCAATTTTAGCACCAGAAAGTTGTTGTATTTCAATCAATGTTTTTGCTCGAGGACCCAAAACAGCACCAATAATATTATCGGGAACCTAAACGGAAAAATATAAAGGAATAACCCCAAAAGGTTAAACTATAAAATACAACAAAAAAAGACTGAAAACCTCAAGTTCAACACGTCCATCTTCCAAAATACGCTCCTTTATTAGAGAATTTGCAAAAGCATTAGAAACAACACCGCCCGATTTTTTCTGACTCATAACATCAATTAATACACCTCCAGCGCCACCAATACTCTAAAGTTCACGTAAATTGTACAAGTATAAACACAACAAAACCTGATCCAAAGAGTTGTTATGTGCATCCATAAGAGAATTTCCAGTCATCATATTAGCATTCTGTGGGTGTGACATAACATCATAACGTTGCTGTTGCATTGAAGCATTTTGAACACCAATTAAAGCATTTTGTTGTTGAACAGCAGCGTTTTCACTATTTCGCATCTGAGCCATTGCAGCAACACCTAGGCCCAAGCCAAGTCCCTTAAAGAAGTTAAATAAGGTTAATATAGTAGATACAAATAGGAGATGCCACAGGTTATCCGGCATGATACCTGAGCTTTTCTCCCTTATATACGAACAAAGACCCAACATTTTTTCAACTAATTCCACTAACTGCCAGAACCGGAACCCAATTCGGAGAAAATTTTGAAGCACCTATCTTTCAACCCGTGAAATCCCCGTTATAAAAATAAAATCAAAAACAAACCATAATATTATATTTGGCAAGCACTTGCATAGCCTGCATTACTTCACTAACGCTTTGATCATTAAAACCAGAAGAACGCAAAGTTGATTGTAAATTGTCCAAAAATGCCAATAACTCATTATTTCCAGTCCCTTGTAAAGGATTGAATTTAATAGAATTTGAATTGAATTGGTTGCCAAGTTTTTGATCTTTAAAAAAATTTTTAGGAAAGAAAAGATTCTTTTTTACCAATCGAAGTCTGATTTTGCCAAGCTGGAGTTGATTGCATTCCAGCAAATTGAGATGCTCCTGTAGTAACACGACTAGTAGCAAAATCATATCCAGAACTTACCTATAAATTTAAAAAAAGATAATTAAAATGTTTAGTTATTAAACTCTCCAAGACTAAAAATTTTACAAGACTCAAGACAAGACCTTACATCCCAAACTTAAACACAAGACCAAGACGGGACCTCAAAACAAACCCGACCAAGACTGAACCCCAAGAACAAGATTTGACCTCACAAAACCAAAACCCTCCAAGAACATAATCTTGGGTAGCTCTATAGGTTATTTACGTTCACATTTTTAAAATCTTACATTTTGAGATTCAGACGTAATTGGTTGCGAATGTAAAGGATCAGCACAAACTCTTTCTAAAACTTTTTGCATTGCACTCATCAAAACGTCATTAGTTTCATGTCCAATTGTTATTACACGTTCTAAAGACATTTTAGCTTCTTCAGTCCCAGCTTTTGGGTAAATTTGAATATTTGCTGTTGTAGTTTCTCTAATTTCTTTAATGCTTGTCCCATTTTTACCAATCACCATTCCAGCAGAAGTATTGGGAACAATAAATTTCATCTGATATAAAAATCGGTAAGGGTCATTCTAACCCAATTTTTGCGA